TTGAGGCTGAGCCCATCTGGAGCTTCTCCAGGAGCTTCCAGTTGAGTTGAAACCCAACCAGAGCTTCTCCAGGAGCCTGGGATTTCTCCAGGAGCTTCCAGTTGAGTTGAAGTTCAACTGGAGCTTCTCCAAGAGCTTCCAGTTGAGTTGAAGCTCAACAGGAGCTTCTCCAGGAGGACTGGACAAGGTGAACCTCAACTGAGGCTTCTCCAGGAGCTTCTCCAGAAGCCCTGGTTGAGGTGAAGCCCAACTGGAGCTTCTCCAGGAGCTTCCAGTTGAGGTTGAGCCCAACTGGAGCTTCTCCAGGAGCCTGGAGCTTCTCCTGGAGCTTCTTCAGGAGCTTCCAGTTGAGGTTGAGCCCAACTGGAGCTTCTCCAGGAGCTTCCAGTTCAGTTGAAGCTCAACTGGAGCTTCTCCAGGAGCCTGGAGCTTCTCCTGAAGCTTCTTCAGGAGCTTCCAGTTGAGGTTGAGCCCAACTGGAGCTTCTCCAGCAGCTCTGGATGAGGTAAACCTCAACTGAGGCTTCTCCTGGAGCTTCCAGTTGAGGTGAAACCCAACAGGAACTTCTCCAGGAGCTTCCAGTTGAGATGAAACCCAACAGGAACTTCTCCAGGAGGTCCGTGGGACCTCCTGGGGGTGTCGGGGGGGGACGGTACCTTCTCGATGAGGTCGATGCAGGCCTGGAGGTCCATGCCGAAGTCGATGAACTCCCACTCGATGCCCTCCTTCTTGTACTCCTCCTGCTCCAGCACGAACATGTGGTGGTTGAAGAACTGCTGGAGCTTCTCGTTGGTGAAGTTGATGCAGAGCTGCTCGAAGCTGTTGAACTGGAAGGGGAGGGAGGGAGGGGTCAACCCAACGGCCAATGGGATGGCCGGGGTCAACTGAAGGTCCAATGGGGTCAACTGAAGGTCCAGTGGGGTCAACTGAAGGTCCAGTGGGGTCAATTGAAGATCCAATGGGGTCAACTGAAGGTCCAGTGGGGTCAATGCAATGGTTGGTGGGATCTAGATGGTCAACTCGACGGGCAGTGGGGGGTCAAGGGGGTCAACGTGGGGGTCGACGGGGTCAAGCTGAGACCCAATGGGGTCAATGGGGTCAACGTGGGGGTCAATGGGACCAAGCCAAAGGCCAACGGGACCATCTCAAGACCCAACGGGACCAACGGGATCCACTCAAGACCCAACGGGACCATCTTAAAACCCAACGGGACCATCTCAAGACCCAACGGGACCATCTCAAAACCCAACGGGACCATCACAAAACCCAACGAGACCCATTCAAAACCCAATGGAACCATCTCAAGACCCAACGGGACCATCTCAAGACCCAACGGGACCAACGAGACCCACTCAAAACCCAACAGAACCATCTCAAAACCCAACGGGACCATCTCAAGACCCAACGGGACCAACCCAAAGCCCAACTGGGTCAATGGGACCATCTCAAGACCCAACGGGACCATCTCAAGACCCAACGGGACCAATGGGATCCACTCAAAACCCAACGGGACCATCTCAAGACCTAATGGGACCATCTCAAGACCCAACGGGACCATCCCAAAGCCCAATTGGGTCAACGGGACCAACTCAAGACCCAACGGGACCATCTCAAAACCCAACAAGACCCACTCAAAACCCAACGGGACCAACTCAAGACCCAGTGGGACCAATGGGATCCACTCAAGACCCAACGGGACCATCTCAAGACCCAACGGGACCATCTCAAAACCCAATGGGACCAACTCAAGACCCAATGGGACCATCTCAAGACCCAACGGGACCATCTCAAGACCCAACGGGACCATCTCAAGACCCAACGGGACCATCTCAAGACCCAACGGGACCATCTCAAAACCCAAGGGGACCATCTCAAGACCCAATGGGACCATCCCAAAGCCCAACTGGGTCAATGGGACCATCTCAAGACCCAACGGGACCATCTCAAGACCCAACGGGACCAACTCAAGACCCAATGGGACCATCCCAAAGCCCAACTGGGTCAATGGGACCATCTCAAGACCCAACGGGACCATCTCAAAACCCAAGGGGACCATCTCAAGACCCATCAGGACCATCCCAAGACCCAACGGGAGCATCTCAAGCCCCAC